GTCTGGCCATGCCAGCCTCAGGCTTGCCCCTTGTCCCCCGCATCCTTCCATCCCAGCAGTGCCCTGTGCAGCCTGTGCTTGTGCTGCCAGGCGTCTGGCGTCCGTGACTCCTCAGCCACTCAGAACCAGGCCCGCTTCCCACACGGTATGTCGCTGGGCCCGGGGCAGCCTGCTCAGGTGAGAAGTGCAACCTCATTCTGTCTGTTACCTGTTCATTTTAGCCCAGAGAAAACCCCCCACAGAACCAAAATCATGGAAAACCAGAAGGCAAGTGGGATTTTTGATTAATAGAAATTAAAATACTATTGGGGGCCACAGAGATAGCTCAGTGGTCTAAGCGCCTACCTAGGCAAGCGCAAGGACCTGGGTTTGATCCCCAGCACCACATGCCCCCTGACTGTCCAGCCAGGGAGCGCTGAGTGGGTTACCAAGACTGGGCGTGATGGCACACGCCTGTATCCCAGCACTGAGGAGGCTGAAAACAGGAGGATCACGCATTCGAGCTGCATGAAATACATAAAAAAATTATAAATACATAATTGAAAAGTACAGGGCCGGGGAGATGGCTCAGTGGAATAAGCACTTCCCAGGCAAGCGCAAGGGCCTGAGTTCAATCCCTGGTTCCCCCAAAAAACAAAAACAAACAAACAAAAAAAATTTTAATTGAAAAGTACTATTGGATTTGGCATGAGCAAAATTCTACCGTTTGTCTTTTTTTCCCTTATAATGAAATACTGGGGTTTTTCTAATTGTAAATCCACTCATGATAAAAATTGAGAGGCTAGAAATTTAAAAGTGCTTCGAAGCCCACGATCCACTTTGACCTTGGCTCCATTTGCGTACCCTTCAAATCTTTGCATTTGCTCTACATACAGGGCTTTGTGTTTTGTTTTAGATGAAAATATCATTTACTTAAAACGAAACTAAAGGAATCATCTACTCTCTTTTAAGTTATTCAGCTATCAGAAGACAGTTTATCAGGGTTTCAGTCTTTGTGTTCTGAGATCCAGTGACATTGTTCTTCTATTCACAAGTTTACATAGCCAGTGGGAATGGCGGCTTTGGTATAAGTGCTGTGTCTTTAAATCCATTAATAATCCATTGAAGCACAAAAAATGCACGTGAACAGTATTTGCTTACATGTTTGCCATATTTATTTTTTTGTTGTTGTTTCAAAGATTCTTTCTCTGTGCAACTCAGGCTGGCCTTGAGCGCACTGTGCAGCTCAGGGCTGTCTGGAACTCCACGCGACCCTCCTGCCTCAGCCTCCCCACCCCAGTGCCAGAATTCGGGTGTGTACCATGCCACCCAGCCTGTTTTACCCCTTCTGTCTGGTGTCCCTCTCCCCTCCCTTGCCACATGGCCTGTGTGCACCTAGTGAGAAGGAAGCGCCCGAGAGGTGGGATTGGGTCTCCGGGAAGAGGCGACTTCTCAGTGACTGCTGTGGATGACTGAGAAAGAAGGAAGTCCTCTAGGTTGTGCTGGGAGCCAGCCTAGAGTCTAGATGTAATGAGAGTAGACTGAGAGTGTAAGGAAATGCACGTGAATTTTAAATTCTGGAATAAAGACTTTTTCTAAGACAGACCTTATAGTCATAAAAGGCTAAAATAGTGCCAGACTTAAAATACACAAATAAGATAAAATTGTTGTAACTGCCTCCTACAGAAGAATGCCGTTTATAAAAGCTTTCTTTGGACAAGTGTTTCTGTGATTTATTGAAGAAGTTGAGAGAGAACCCTGCAACCTCTGCTCCTGGTCACCGAAGCAGGACGCATTGATTTTCTACTTAGGCTGTGTGTTCACCTTAGTGGCAGTGGAAGTGGCATCCGTGTGTCCCGCTGAGTAACCCAGCCTGGAGACCAGGGGGCTTCAGCCTTCACTACAAGGGATTCCCCATGGTTAGATAAACTGATCTGTTGCTTGGTAACCCCCGGATTACTACAGTAGATGCTCAAGAAGCTCGAGTGAGAGGAGTCTGGGTATTTGGAGGGCAGGAAGGGCAGGAAAGTTGGCAAGTTTTGGGAGGACTGAAGCTTGGCAGGAGAGGGCATGAGCACCCATCACATGCTCGGGTCTGGTGGGGTTCATCTTCCCAGCTGTACTTGGCCTTTTCAGCCTTGGGCCTCGGGACACAGAAGGGAACGGAGCTGCCCCAAGGGGTGTGGGCCCTGTTGACTGTCAAGACAGCAGGTGGAACCCTGGAACTGGCCCTATGTTCTCCCACCAGAGAGATCTGCAGCCGAAAAGTCAGGACCCCTGGCTGTGGGCTGGGCCACCATGAGACTCTGAGCTAAACTTGCAGTAGCCAGGAGACAGGAAAGGCGAGGCAGGCAGGGCTGTCTCCAGGAGATCCTTTCTTTGGTGTTGGTGTGGTTCTGGCTCGAACCCAGGACCTCACACGTGCTAGGATGCACTTCAGCACTGAGCTCCTCCCACTCCAAGACCTGCTTTCTAGTGGTGACCCCTGACACTGGACCTGGGGACGTTTTAACAGACATTCCCACCTGACAGCTGGTCATTCCTGCTGCTCCCCCCTCCCCCAGGTTTGTCTCTGCAGAGGGGCAAGTACGGAAAGGGCCTGATGGGAACGAGTCTGCCGCTCTATGCAGGGTGTGGCTGCGAGGGGACTGCAGGCGGCCGCAGGGCTGCACTGCCTGCATTCTTGAGCGGAAAGAGGCGCCTGCAGCCTGCACCGTGTCTGTCGGCAATTAGTGTATCAGCCACCCAGAAGAGATCCTGGTTATTATTGTGCATTAGCAGTGGGAGGAGCAGGCATTGAAGTGCTAGAGCTTATGCTGGGGAGGATATTTTGACGGAAATTTTGCATATTTTGAAACTGAGGTTGTTACATTTAAAATTATACACATTGTGAGCACTTGGCTTCAAAGGAAAGGAAAGAAAAAGCATTCCTTCCTGTCAGAACCTTTCACTCTGTCTGTCATAGAAGCCGACTAAAAATAAACCGCAAGCACCAAAAGTGGCAGCCTTCAGTTTGGAGCAGGCTAAGTGCTCCCAACCGCGGGCCCGTCTGCTGCTGCCACCACACGGGCCCACTGCTCGGGCCTCTGCCACGTACGCTGAGGCGCTCGGCCCAGTGGGACAGGCACCCAGGGGCGGGACTGCTGTCCTCCACGGAGTGGGCCGTGCAATCACCAGGGCTCGTGGTCCTTCCAGGCTCCTGCGTGGGCTAGCGGTAGAGTGTGGCACCTCCGGGCCTCAGTTTCCTCGCGTTGAGCTGAGCATGGCCCCATCCCACATGTCAGCCCCCAGTAGCACTGCGTGTCTTACTTCATACCGACAGGTCTTAGGAGCTCTGTTCTCCGTATCTCTCCACTTTCCAGATAAGGACAGAATCACTTGTTCTATGTCGCATGCCGAGCTCTAACCCCAGGGCCTCGCTCCTCGCTCCTTACTCCTCCATTACCTAGCTCTTGTCCCAGTTGTCCCACTGCAGCAGCCTTTGAGACCAGACTCAGCATGACATGGTATTTCTACTCTGACATCCAAGGCCCTTCCCGTCATATCTGACTTGTCCTCCTGGCATCAGCCTGGGCTGGTAGGGAGAGTAGGGGCAGAGCCCACCGGACCTGTTTGCCCTCCTCTTCGGTTCTCCTTGTGGCTGGGAGCCATCCAAGCTGTGAAAGGAGGAGTCGCACTGGCCTTGCCGAGCACGCCGGAAGTAGGCAGCAGTGCTCAGACATGGTGCCCACAGCCGCGAGAGCACTGGCCCTGGTGCCTCCTGCTGAGAGCCTCCCGGGCACACAGTGCTCCGCGCTCCTAGCGCCTGAATGACGTGACCCATTAGTCTCCTGCCTCAAATCCTCCTCCCAGCGGAGACTGAGCCTTCTCTCCCTCTGTGTCACATGAGGAAACAGCCGTGTGGCTGTAGACCTGTCCCTGGATAAGCGTAGAAGCAGGCCTCAGTGCTTCAGCCCCGGTACAGCAGGATGCTGCGCTTTCTTCATAAAGGGTCACATGGGTTAGTCTCACCTCTGACTCCTGAGTTTCGAAGGAGTTCTGTTTATTTTGGCTGTAATTTCAGTCCACTTTATCCTCTAATTAGTATGTAAAGAAACACCATAAATAAAGCAATTAGAGCAAGAACTACACAACACAGTGCTGCGCTAAGACTGCCAATGGGTGTCCCAGGAATTGTCATGTGTGTTGACCATTGTTTTTTAATTGTTATTTTGGTGAAAAATCTTAGAAAACGTCTTATTCTTCGCTTTCAACAGCCGTTCTTCTGTCTGTGGTTAAACTTCTGCCTGATCTGGTCGGAGGCGAGACTGCCGTCTCAGAGCACAGCTGCTGCGGCTCAGCACTGGAGCTGCTTCTGCCTTTGGCACCTTGGTGGGTTGGAGCAGGAAGCAGCATCCCTCCAAGCCCCAGACTAGCCACGCGCAGACAGCTGCTGGCCTAAACCTGGCTCGGACACTCAAGAGCCTGCACCCCGGCTTGGGGTTCTGCGGGCTCAGAATCGTGTGTGAGAGGCTCTTTCCTGAGGGCGTGGTCTCTGACTGACCCAGCAGGGCAAGGGGCCTCGCTGCCTGTCCCGCAGGGCCGAGTCCTCAGTGTCTGATGCCCACGGCCCCATCACCTTGCAAGGCATCCTAGCTGCCGGTTAGGGGCATTTGCTGCTTCATGCGGTGCAGTTTCTGGGTGGGTTTTCTCCATCCTCTGGCAAACTGCTGCATCATACACCTCGTTTGCCATCAGAGTTTGAGGGTGTACAGTTCTCTTTTTTCCCATGAAAACAACACAGAACAAAGCCTGTTTTAAAAATGCCATGATATTTTGCCACCGTTATGAAAATCTGTCAGCGCCGTATCTAATCTTCTGGTGCATGGAATATCAAAACAAGCACTATTGAAGGGATCGCACTTCTGTTAATACAAAAATGTCAGCTTCCCAGTTTCACAGCCAGCTGCCGTCAGCCTCCTTTCCAAATGTGAAAGGAGAAAGTACTAAAGTTTCTCCCCTCTGCTGTTACTGTTCTCCAGGCCAGACCTTCGCAAGAAGCCACGATGCGAGCCGCGGCTCGCTGAGGTCCTCCGCTCGGAATACTCAAGTGGGCTGGACCCCAGCGCCACCCAGGTCAGGAGGCAGAGCACACTGGAGGCAAGCAGCTCCTCCCGGGACCACGAGCGCCCGGAGAGGCTGCCCAAGGGACAGCAAGGCCTCCCAGAAAGGTTCTAAATCCCTGTCCACAGGACTGGGCTCAGAGTGATGCTAGAGGCCTGGGCAGCGCTGGGAGGATGTCTTCTCATCAGAAAAATACGTGTGACACCTTGCCCTGAGCAGGGACCCTGGGCAGGCATATCCATGACTGCAGCCCTGTGATGTGCTGGTTGCGTGACAGCAGGCTGTTAGAACTGGACTGGAATTTGTACCAAACGTATTTGTCAAGTAGTTATTGTCTTAATGTACACGTGCTTCAGCACAAAGGCCTAAGGGTTTTTAGTCCGGGTTAGAAATAGAAATGCCTTTGTTGGGCCTGTGTGTTTCTCCCACAAACACACTGTCGCATCTGTGTGCGTTGCCTTCCCTTTCGTGTCCACGGGAAATGCACTCTGGGGGCTAATGGATTCACTGTTCCTCGCTGTCACTGCCTGTGAAGTCAGAGGGCACCAGTGCTCTGAGTGCCTCTTTGCTTCCTTGGCAGGTGTCTTCGTGTGGTGACCCAGACCCAGCCACCCCCACTGCTTTCTGGGAGGTTGACATGGACCCCGATGTGTTTTTGTTGTTGTTTTTGGTGGAACCAGGGATTGAACTCAGATCCTTGCGTTTGCCAGTCAAGCGCTTGTCCTACTGAGCCATCTCCCTGGCCCCTCTGATGTATATTGATTTCCCAATAAACATAAGCTCTGCACATCCCAGGGATGCAGGGAGACAGGGCTGAGAGCCCCACCTCCCCGACCAGGCCCTGCCTCTGTTCTCTCCTGTTACATTTTCCTTACTCTTCATAATTCGTGTGCCAACCACTTTGGTTTTCCTGGTAAGAGTGCTGGGACCCCAGGCCCACATGGACTGACTGGCTTGGGCTGGGGTGCTGGCAAGAGTGGACCCACTCAGGAGGTGCAGGACCTTTTCAGAGTTGGTCATTGTGGGAACTACTAGGGACTATTTGTGAAATCTGCACCCATATGTTTTTTTTTAATGGTACACATTAAAGGGGCCTTGTGTAAATCTACTGTCTTCTGTTTTGGTAGGATGGCTCACATGATTGGATGAGGGAGGGGCCAGACCTCACAGGTGGAACCCAGCAGGCCCAGTGCCAGTGATGGGGGAGATCAGAGAAAGTGTGCCTCCCCACCCCCAGCAGTATATACGGGGCAGGGCGAGTGGGCCCTCCTGTGCTCCCCAGAAGGGGCCAGAGCCAGCATGGGAGTGGCTGCTCCAAGGACTCTTGGGTGCAAGCGTCATTCGTGCGGGAGATGCTGTGAGGGCTTGAATCAGTAGCTCACCCAGTTAATAAAGAAACATGGATTTAGCAGATTTAGGGTTAATATTATCTAAATTTAAATAACCTTCAAATAAATCTCTTATTATAACTCTTGACAGATTATACATTTCAGGCATCAATTAGGCAAAGCTTGAGCCTAATTCCACAGTACATATTCTAATTTTGTGTGTGCTTCTAATCGTGCCTGTTTCTGATTTCCCAAACTAACCCATTTCTCTGCGACATCAGCCTGGTTAGCATATGAAAGTCCCAGATCATTTGGACCTTTACTGGAACGTTGTGGCCTGAAGCTCTCCCACCCCGCCCCCACCTCGGGCTGTGGAATGCTTTTTTGGACTGAAACACCCCCAGTTGCAGTCCCAGTGCCTGCCCATCAGAGGGGCCCCCATTCTCACGCCTCAAGAGCGAGATCCCCTTGGTGAGCGATTAAGTCGCTAAGGCAATGCAGACAGCATCCTCCACTCTTGCCAAACAGGGCACCGAAGGACACTTGGACAAAGCCCGCTCATCCCTTTGATTTTTTTCTTTGCCCCCTGGAGTGAAGAGGGGAGCCAAAGGGCCTTTGCACGCAGATGTGTTGCAGACTGGCCCGGGCCTTGGTGAGCACTTCATGTGCTGTCAGCGGAAGCCTTTAAAATCCAGGCGCCACTGTCCAGGGACAGAAGTCCGAGGCGGGACCTCCAGGAAGCTGCCCTGCCTGGAATGCCCACTTCGCTGGTGCTGCTGGGTTGTCTCCGTGGCCCTACAGCGTTTCTTCCCCTCGCTCCTCCAGACGACGTGTAGAGCAAGGCCCAGCACTGGGGGCGGGGGCACCCTAAGCCTCCCTGCCTCCATCCTGTCGCTGATGAGGATCGTGGGAGGGTGGGCCCTGAGAGGTGGTCTCCTTGGTTGCCATCCTCTGCTGTGGCCGAGCGTCTCCTGTACCTTCTCCCTCTCAACATTCCCATCGCCGGGGTTGGGAAGACAGCCCACTTGAGCCTCTAAACAGGGCGCAGAAGCCCACTTCACTGCAGACTGGAGATATTATTACAGATGAGTATGCAGGACAGTGCAAAGTACTGTAATTATAAACTTGTAGGGAAGCCTTGTTCTTCATTAATGTAAGATATGAAATGGCCTCTGAGGTACAAGGACGATTACATAGTTGAGAATGTGTCTGTGATTTACACTGTGGCTGTGTAAATGTAAGGGTGGCTGCTCCAGCCTGCCTCCTCCACTTTCACAAAATGAAAAGCACACCAGTGCAAGTTGTCCTTTGATAGATTTTTAATATGATTTTAAAGAGTTTTGTTTGGTCTCATTCTTATTCAATGAGATTAATTTAAAGCACTTATCTCCCGGGTTTAAGTCAATCCATGTAGGATTTGGGCAGGGTTTGCTGCCTGGGGGGTTTTGTTTGCAGGGGGCTCTGAGAGACTCCTTTCCCACTTCATTAACCCTGAGTTGGGGGCAGTCCCCCTGCGCCCCTGCCATGGCCAGGACTTGGGATTTACCAGCCCCATTCACATGCAAAAGAACCCGAAGGCCGAGGGCCCCTTGACTTAATTAGCTGCTGTGCATTTTGCAAAATTAGAATAATACCCTCGCCAGCCCAGGAAAGGGGGGAGGAAACAGTAGCAGACCTGTGTCTGCTTTTGGGGGTTACAGCCTGAACACGTCCCATCTAGGTTCTCCCAGAGCTCTCCTGTTACGGGCTGTGCCTCAGCCTGCTGGGCACCCAGAGCTCCGCCATGGGTGCTCCACTGCAGGTGGAGTGTAGAGGGGGCATCCCAGCTCTTCCCCAAAGAGGAATGTCTTTGGGCAGTGACCCTGGCCCTCAGAACGTGAGCTAGACACTAAAATCCTGCTGGGGCTGCAAAGAGATCTGGCTCTTTTCTGGATCTTGCTTCCAACCTCATCCCAGGGTGACGAGGAAGTGGGTTGCTCCAGTAGTCACCCAGTGCAGCCTCAGGCTCGGGGACAAGGCGCACAGGGTCCTGACGGGCACCAGGGGCCAGGAGTTGCTCGTTGCCCACCGGCAGCACACTCCGTGGGTGCTGGGGGTGTCGGGCGGCAGAGGGTGGGGTGATGGGGAGCAGTCTCGGAGTCCATCTGTCGGCCCCTAGACCAGCGGGCCGGTCACCAGCTGCCGGTGCCCTTGTTGCAGCCAGATGCGTCGGCTCAGAGAGGGCATTGCAGCCCGGCAGCAGCGAGGGAGGCCAGGCGCTGACCCCCGACCGGGCCCCAGGGTTGTCTGGGAGCCCAGAGGAACCAGATGGGGTGGGGGAAGCAGAATGGGAGCTTCGCGGGAAAGACAGCCCGGGTGGGGGCGCCAGCTGCCCAGGACCCTCTCGCTCAGCCAGGTCCCCTGCAAGGACCGCAGCACCGACCAGGCAGAGAAGAGAGAAAAATTTCGTTGGAGGCTGGACGGAGACCGAGCCCCAGGAGAGGCAGATGGCCCCGAAGAGGGTCGGGCAGGGCCTGGGCGCCGACTGACGATGGGAGCGCGGACAGGCGCCTGGTCATTTGTAAGAAGTTTATTTCGACATTTAAAAAAGAGGAAACCCAAGAGGCCTGGCTGCCCGCGGGCGGGACAGAAGTGGAGACCTGGGGTCAGTGTCGGTGCGCAGGTCCCCGGGCCCCGGGAAGGGGAGGGCACAGGCCACAGACTCACTGATTCACGGACACGGTCACGGGCTCAGGGGTCACGAATAAATAACTTCATATACACTTTGCACACGGTATGTACAGCTCAACCGCCAGGCGGGCGCGGCATCAGGAAGGTGCTGGCCTCCCACCGCGCCCCGCGGATGGACGGAGAGAAGCTGGGTCCCCCGCTGGAGCAGGAAGGGGGCAAGGGAGCGAAGCACAGGTCACCGACAGGTCCCGGGGGCCCAAGGACCCCCGGGGACCGGTGGATACTGGGAGAGTGGAGGTACGCGGAGACGCGTGTGCACACCCGGCGGGTGGAGAGGGCACAGAGGGGCGGAGGAGGCGCAGTCCAGGCCCGCGGGGCCCCGGTGGACTTGGCATCGGGCCCTTGGGGGTCGCTGGGCCGGGGCGCCAGGGAGCGCTGGCGGGCGCCTCACCGGGGCTGCGCGGCGCGCGGGAGAACTCCAGCCAGCGGGGGCAGTGGCGGGGGCGGCTCGCCGGCTCCCTGGAGTCCGTGGATGAGGATGCGTGGCACCAGTGGCCTCTGCAGCGCGGGGGGCGGCGCGCTTGGGCCGCGGTACAGGTAGAGCGCCGCGCCGGGGTCCAGGTTGGAGACCAGGCTCTGTGGATAGAAGTAAGGCGACGGGAACATCCGCTGGAGCGCAGAGTAGTTGCCTGCTTCCGCCAGCAGCTCCAGCCCGACAGCCGTCTGTCGCTTCCATTTAGTCCTGAGGACCGAAAGAGTAAGGGAAGAGTAGGACAGGGATCGCAGCTGGGGCACCTGGGACCTCTTCCCCTCTGGAGCGTTCCTGCAGGGTTAATAAATACCGGAATACCCATTCTCTCCTTGAATTTCCCCCTGGATTTCCACGCTACGATCCCCATTTTACAGATTTTAAAACTGACATGGCGGTGCACACCTATAATCCCAACACTCTGGGAGGCTGAGGCAGGAGGACCACAAATTTGAAGCCAGCCTGCCTGGGCAAATTAGACCTGTCTCCAAATAAAAAATGAGAAAGGGGCAGATGTACTTCAGTTATAGAGTGTGCCTGGGTTTAACCCCAGTACCGAGGGGGAAGAGGAGTGTCATATGGGCCAGTTATGAAGATCTAGAAATCGGCAGGATCTGAGGCTCTAAGCTAAGCTTTTTGACCTCAGAGCTGGGCTATGACCTTCCACTGGGGTGGGCAGCGCTCCCACTTGGGTTTCCATGGAACTGGGCCTTGAGAGGCCCCTGCATCTATGCTGCCTGGGGAGACCTGTGGAGACCACCAGGCCCAGGAGAGGATGGCAGAGGTGGTGGGGTTAGGCCTGCTGGGCAGTCAGGCACCCTCAGGTAACCCTGGTGCCCATCTCCGCAGACCAGGCAGGCAGGCAGGCAGGCAGGCAGGATGCGGCACAGGAGAGGCTACGTGCCGGCACCAGCACCTTAGCTCCTCCAGACGGCAGCAGCACCCACAGCGCAGCCTCCCAAGTCTGTGGCTGGCTTGCTGGTGAGCCCTGCTTCCCGGCTAGCCGCCACGTTGGCTCAGCAGTTAGAGCAGGCCGGCCTGGAGCCCGGGGCTCACCTGTGGAGGCAGCTGGTGCCCAGCTCCAGTGAGGTGGGCTCAGTCACACCGGCCCTGGTTCCCTCCCTGAATTATTCATCATCATCATAATTG